GTTACTACTAGTAAGGCACTTGTTACTAGAAGCGATGCACTTGTTACTAATAGCGTCTCTGCTCCTAGTAGCGATGTCAGGAGCCCCTAGTAGCGTCTTTGCTCCTGGTCTGAGTCGTAACATGTTCAACCATCTGTCTGACATTCCCGGCCTGAGAGCAAAGTCTGACGGCAAGAACTCCACAATGTGCCAAGGCCTCTTAAAAAGCTACTCAACGTTCCGCACTCACAGGACCATTCAGCCAAAAAAGCAATACGATATATAAGTGCAAAGAGTACAGTAGCAGTTTCAACAGAAGAAAGCGCAAAGGCTTCGAAGGTGCAAAGTAGGCTGCCTCCTGCAGCTTTGCATCCGCTTCTCCAAAGTGCGTCGCAAGCACAGAGAGCGCATCACTGAGCGGAAGGACTCGGGAGGTGCGCTTCACTCTCTCTGTGCTGACCCTGCATTTTACAAAGCTCATCTGAGACTGCGGCCTGTGCTTAAGATTCTGATGTATATGTGCCAACATAAGTAGATTCTGCTAAAGCTAGGCTCTATCTCTCTCTCTCTCTCTCTTCTCACATCAGGAAGTGCACCATCCAGGTAGTTGCTAAAATCCTACGGTCCTACTTTTAAGTGAACAGGACGGGCGGTTGTGTTTGTCCTACGTAATGTGTGACATGATGGTGTTGTAGGGATGGTCCATTGCTTTTTTGTCAACTTCGAAGAATTTGTTGTCACTCTTGGCATGCCGGTGACTGCCACACATTACCAAAGTATATACGCTGTTCAAGTAGCTTCTTGTGCATTTCTTGTGCCTTGGTGCTTTTCTGGGCCACTTGGCTGCAACACTCCAACACTCCAACTTCCCAGGCATGAATGTCTCCATCATGTCCCTCATATGATGCAATTCACGGCCCGAATCTCCTCTCGATGGGCTAGCTTGTACTGCAAGACCATGTCGGCCAATCCTGTAGTTAGCCTGCCAGCTGGTGTCACTGCGCACCACGCCATATCATCATCATCATCATCATCATCATCATCATCATCATCATCATCCAAAGACGGGGGCATGCAGGGTCATGCTAGTGCTAGGGTGGCTTTAGCTTGATAAAAACTCAAAATATGTCCTGCCTTGTAGTACCAGAGCCGAAGACAGCGGCCTAAACAAGGCAGGGTTTCGAGATGTCAAGAATACAACAGAAACCCACTTGCCTGGTAAGCAAGCACCAGCTTGGCAAGCTGACGACCAGAAAATCCTTCGGTCTGCTTCGCCACCTAAACGGTAAACAAACCATGTTTCTGTGGCATTACCATTGCTAGGTTGGAGGCCATTGCTAGTAGGTTGCATTAGCCAGTTTGGCTCAAAGAACCGCCGCTCTACTTTGTTGTTTTCCGCTGCAGAATTCGTCAAGCCCTTCTTTCACAAGGGCACAGTCCAAGACTGTGGCGATGCATGGCATTGGTGAGACAAGCTTGTAAGGCTACATCCAATGAATCCATCTCTTGCAAGGTTTGCATTGATGAATGGTTTTTGCTCAGCAAAGCGAGCGCTAAATCATCTCTCTGCTATCTAGGATGGCCGCACCCCTCAGTATAGGTTGAGATAGTTGGCAACAAGAAGCAGGTCCTTGGGCAATCGTCTTTCGATTTCAATCGTTCAGTTGTGCCGTTGTGTGTTTCATAGCCAGGATGCCAGGACAACATCGTCATCAATCGGAAACTCTGGAATAGGCACCTGCAAGCACTGTTCAGAGAAGGATGGAGAGTTGCAGCAATCTCGCAAGCCTTGGCGTCTGTATACTTGTACTTGAAATACAAATACTCGATGACCTCTGCAGGTTTTCTCAAGAAAGTCAAGCAACCCCGGTGACTTGTTTTGCATCATTCACTCAACAGGCCTTCTCCAGTAGCTTGCCAGTGATGGTCGGAAGCTGGATCTCATTGGTCTGTCCTTCTTTGAAACCGTCCTGTGCGATGGGTGAGAAAGACAAAACAGAGTGGCCTTCTCGATACAAACACATCCGAGTGGCCTTCTCGACCATCTTCTTGAACGTGTCACACTCATATGCTATGCGTCTGTCCTTGATGAGGTCATGAAATCTACATCTTGTTGACTAGCTTGGGCAAAGTCACACACGTTCTGCTTTGCTAACAAAACATGGCATTGTCCAGAAAGAACTCGTGGCCATCCGCGCTGACCAGCCGCAAGTACCTGCACAGCAATAAGAGGTTCCACGACTATGTCCTGCTTCAGGGTAAGCCTTCTTAGCCTCCAACGAAAATGTCTCAACTGGGTCCAAGTGCGGATTGTCCATGTCAAGCGCCTGAGAAGGCTGCTGCTGTGTGTTGCACATTCAGGATGCGCGTGAAAACTACACACTCCTTGGATCGCTGCCATGATTGTAGTTGCGCCGATACCGCATTTACTTGAGCCAGAACAGGCACACTAAAGGACGTTGAGAGGCAAGTGCGCAAGGAAAGCAGACACAACAACACCCAAGTGTCACAAGAGCACAAAGGCATGCTACTCACCCAAGACCCCAGCCTGTTCCAACCAGGCATCATCTTTCAACACATCATCTACCTGCGATTGTGGAAGAATGTGTAGCTGATCTTGAGACTTCTACACATTGGAGCTGCCTCCACAAGTGAGTGAACACATGTGAACACCAATGTGTTCTGATTGTGAACACCAAAACACTACATTCCCAGTAACAAGAAGCTACTAGTAGCAGGGTGCATCGCTACTAGGAAGAAGGGCATCGCTACTAGTAGCTAGAAGCTACTATATAGTAACAAGAAGCTACTAGTAGCTCCTGGCCTTCTGCTAGGAGCAAGAGGCTACTATGTATTATACATAGGAAAAAGAAGCGAAACGCATCATTCAGCTGTTCCAACCCTTCGGATCCTTCAGATCCTTCCGGCCTGAATCACCTTGCCCCTCTTGGTGGGCTTGTGGATGTGTTCCTGAGGGTTCGCTGATGTAAAAATGAAAAAATAAATGTCTTCAGAAAACAAAAAAAAGCACAGAAAACAATACCATCCTCCATGAACATGGAGAGCATCCGTTGGCGCTCCTAGAGTCAAAATCCAGGATTAGGCCATCTCATTGATGCATTTTACTCCGTGCCTTCAAGCTGGGCAGTGGAAACTCAAAGCTTTCATCCTTGGTCAGGGTCAAATGCGAGCGCCTTTACCTACGAGAGAAATTGAGCATTGCCAAAGGAAAACCCAAATCGAGGCGGAGATTGAAAGTGAACTCGAGTAAAAAACCTATCAAGGCGCGCACGATGCGATCAAGCACGGCTTTGTCGAGAATCTCTCTGATGTTGGTCGCCAGCACAACCACAAACCTGCTAAGACTATATAATCAGGAAAAAGACTTCCAAAGATATCTAAACAACACAATAGAAGCTGTTGCATCCTCATAATACAAACTTCCAACTGGCCAGTTTGACTTGTCACTCTCCGTGCCCGTGTGATGCAGGAAGGCCGACAAGGTATTTCTGGCCTTCGCTTGAGGCTGAACTTCTGAACAGATTCCACGCATCAAAGGACTCCACTCTTCACGTGAAGGCCTCTTCACTCATGGCAGAAGTGTCTGACCCACGGCCAGTCCGCAAAAAGTCATCGGCCTTGGGACTGCGATGGTTTGGACAGGATTGAAGTCCAAGAACAATGTGCTTGCCTAGTTAAAGTAGTTTAGGTTTGGCTTCTTGGGATTCGAGCCTCGTCAATGAAAAGAATCAAGCCTTTCCTTGGCGGAACAATTGTGTTCAAGCAGCTGGGTTGCAAAGCTCTGCAAACAAACTGACACACCCTCAACAAATGTCTGAGCCTCGAACCGGGAGTTGTTAGCCCACTGAAAGAGCTTGTTAAGCTCGTGAACCTGGCCAAACTGCCAAACTCTATTGACCTAGTTCAAAGTCCACTCAGAATGCAATGCAAAGGGAAGGCCAAAGCTCTTTTCCACATGAAATGCACTATGCAAACTCACCAATATTTGCCATCATGTCCAAGCTGAGTCAGGAGATCTCCGAGCAGGTTCCAATGCACTTTGAGATCACCAAGGAACAGTGAGCAATCGTGAGCAAACATCTTCCATAGCGGACAAGACCAGCGAGCTCAGCATGGCTTCAAGACTTGCCACGCAGGGGTTCCGACTGACTTGCCACATGTCCCCCTGCCATCTCTGTTTTCGCTGCTTTCCCATCAAGTTCAACATGGTTCAACTTCTGTGCACCTGGCTTTGGCCTTCAGAAGCGATGATTTGCTCCACGAGGACGGAATCCAGCATGAGGTGGTTTGGGAACACGAGCCCTACGGCCTGGGCTTGCACTCCGACTTCGTGATCGAACACTTCCCTCGCTGGTCTCGACTTTTCGCTTTTGTTTCAACCGCTCAAGTGCCGCGGCTGCTCTTTCTGCTTTTGATCCAGCTGCAGCTGCACCGGCTTTGGTTTTTCTTCGACCAAACTCGTCATAGCCAACGTCATCTTCAACCGAAACACGCCTCTCAATCTGCTGCCGGTCATTGAAGCCTTAGATCTGCTCAGGTCTCGCACGTAGATTCCATAGTTCCGAATTTGAACATTACACCCCTGCACTTGCACAGGGAAGTTGAGAACTAAAACTAGGCCTATATACATGGAACTGCAAGCACGCGTAGCCACCTTCCATGTTAGGGAAACTAAAAAAACATTGCAACCAAGACTAACATGGAACTGGATGGAAATGCCTTCCACTCACACTCGCCCAGCACTAGCATGGAAACCATGCGGAATCTCAGTCTCTCAGTATCGGTATGATAAGAACTGCATGCAATACTATGCAATACTCTATACTGTACACAGTACATACGGTGACACACTGAGGGCAAGCTGACGGCGTGATCTTTTGCAGTGGGGCACACCGGTGTGGTATCCTATGAAGACGACTTGTGGCACAGTGCACTCATACATCTCACGTTGGTGGCCCCCCCCAACACACTTGAGATTGAATTGCAACGCGTATGACTCTATGACGCACACTGCTCATCCACTTGTGAAACATCAACAAGGCCTTTGCTTCACGATTCCTCTTCAATTCTTGTTGCTTCATTTACACAAGTCAAACTCAAACTGCTGGCGCACTAAGTGCAAGCTGACGGCGTGTGAATTTGCGCGGAGTGGGGCAGACCAATGTGGTGTCCTATCGAGAGGACTTGTGGCACACAGTGCGCTCACACATCTGTCACAACTCAAGGCACTTTGTCACAGGCGCCTTGCCAACCATACAACAACTTCTGCCAAAGAACCGAGACATTTGGCGAAACCGTCATCAATCAAGCGTCAGCATTCTTATCGCGAAGGGAGGTCAGCTGTCAGCTGGGTTTGAAGGCGGCGGAACTCACGAGACACGCAAGAACACTGAACGTTGAGACACGAATGAATCTACTGGGGAATTTCTGCATTCTCCCATGAACGTCGACAGTTAATTTATGGAGCGGAGTCGAGCTTCCCGCGTATCATCCACTCATCAACTTAGCGGAGTGGCTGTCACCCATCATTATTCTTTGAAAGCAGCATGCTGGGCAATCGCATCCCTTCCTCTCCAGGGATACCCTTTCTACCACACCCACAAACCCCTAACCTTCTTTCTTCAACTGTCTTTCTTGGGCCGGGGGTTTACCTTTTCAAGAATGCCCTTTCGCACAGGACTAGCCCACTTTCAAAAGCCCCGAAGTACTGTCCCCCCAGCGTGTAAGTTGAAAAGTCCGTCAGGTAAGGTTCATGAATAGGTGGCCAGTTTGCGGGGGATTCAAGCAAGCAAGCAAGCACGCAAGCAAGCAAGCAAGCAAGCCTGCCAGGACATGCTCACTGTACTTTGCAATGGAGTCATGAGTTGTAAAGGAATCCACCTGACCAATTGCAGTTGAAAGTTGAAAGCGCAGCTCCGGATGGGTCCTGCTCAACTTCTTGGTGATCCTGCTCAAGCCTCTCGCCAAGATAGTGGGATCTGGTATTGAAACCCCACATTCTTCAGCGCGATGCTTCCATCGAATCCACCCCCGAAGGACCAGCACAGCCCTTTGGATTGTCGAGCACTAGACGGTGATTCAAATGCCGCCAGGATCGCTTGCCTTTCTGCCAGCCCACCTGGCTGATATGCCACCATGCCCTTGGCGAGGATCCCAAAAGCGCTCAAACTTTTGCTGGTCTCGGTTTCTTCGCGAAGAGCTTCTGCTACTGCACCAAGGAGCAATGCTGCGGCGCGATGCTCGAGCCTCCGCCACTTCTTTTGTTGAAGCTTGCTGCTTGCGCGATAGGCGTTCAGGTGGAGTCTTCAACATGTGGACGGCGCCATTCACGGGCTTCATCAATTCATGGCCCACTGCTCCACCACCCCTCCGACGATGCAGATAGGTCACTCGTCAGGGTGTAAGCACCAGCAACCAATCAGCAAAATCAGTTAGTCCTGGCTCACAGGCCACTCAGCCATCTTTGGAAGCTCGACACTCGATCGAACGGTTTCAGGGCCGACGTCATTGGCTTCACGACCGCCTTTTACCATCTTTTCTTAAATCTTTTGCATTCCTTCCACCAACTTCAAAATCACTGTGAGTGTTTGCTGGTGAGCATCTTCTTCCCCTTTCTGCTCAGCTTTCTTTCTCGAAGTTCCTCTCCCTTTTCCTGTTGTGGTTGGATCGGGAATCCCTTTTTCTCTTTCTGCTTCGCCTTTCCCCTCTTCTGGGCCACAATCATCATCTTAATCATAGCTGCCGCTTGGAGTGGCGAAAACAAATTCCTCTTCTTGTCGCTCAACCTGGTTGGTCAGGCGGTGAACATCCCTTTTCAACTTCCGGTTTTCATCCATCAACATACGAAGCTGTTGGCGATGAAGCACTGCCTCCTTTCCAACTTTCGGTTTGGTAGCTTCAACATTGAAGCCCCGTTAGGGTCTTCCTCCAACCGCTGGTTTTCAACCATCAAGTATTGCAGCTGTCGAAAAACTTCATTTGTTTGTGTTCTTCCAAAACTTCCCATCTCACCCTTTCTTCTTCCCGTTCTTCGGCCTCGCCTTCATCTTCTTCTAAGATGCCAGGTCTCTCGAGAAGCGACGGATCGGGCGTCTGAAAACGAGTGTATAGCCAAGGAGCTTGCTGGTACATCTCGTGCAGTCTTTGCAACTGTTCTCTATTGAACAGTGGCTGTCAAAGCTTTCAACCACCCACCCCCATAGCCACATGATCTTCTTTTTTTTTTGTCCTCACCGCACTTCCCTTTCCTTTGACAGCTTCTTCATGCCCAGGTGCTTTCGGTCCTCGAACTTCAGGAGTCTTGGCTGGAGTCGAGGCACTGCCTACCTTGGGCCGGCTGCCCTCTGTTGGTCGAACCAGGAGTTTGGCTGAGCTTTTCCCCTGCTTTCTCTGGTCTTTTCGAACCATCTTTCATCACCTCTTTGCTCAGCTTCCTTTTCCAGTCGTTTCTGGGCCAAATGCATCTCTATTTGGCCCTGGTATGCCCACTACTCGCTTTGCGCACTAGGCCCGTTTAAACTCATAACCTAGTGTTCACTGCACCAGGCCCAACCAACGCTCACAGAAAAAAAGCAGCACCTCCGCTAAGCGTCACTGATAGCACGGCCGTCTATTTTCTCGCTGGATTGGGGTCTTGTGCCAAAAAGGGCTGCTATGAACGACACAAGTCACAACATGCCCTCTTCATGAAATGCTCTGCTATGCAAACCATCGAAGGCACCGGGGTTCATCAGTATTATGTATTATGTAGCATTTTGTATTACATCTACATACATATTTTATGTGTTATATATATACATACATAGTATATTAAGTAAATTAAGTAGTATATACTATACATGGATATTTATCAACGTCGACCTATGCCTATTTCAACTTGACATGCTGACACCTGCCAGGTCAGGTTCTGAGCGAGGCACCTCCGCCTCGGCCTCCCTCAGCATCACGAGTTTTCCTGCGCTCCTCGGCCTCTTTCTTCGTTCGTTCGGCAAAATCCTCCAGCCTCCAGCTGCAGCAGGTCAAACTACTCACACTGACATCTTTGCCTGGACGCCTAATGTTGAAGGACCTTCCTACATGGTGGGTATGCCATCACATGTTGTTTGCTCAATCCAAGGCGAAAGGCCCTGCTGGGCACTGGTTTTTGGAATGCCCTCTGCCAATGGCACACAAAGCTCTACATAGAGGTCAACTGGTTTCCTGCAACTGGTTGGGGTAACTTCCGCTGTTGCTATAATATAGCGGCTCTCTCCATTTCTGCAGGGACTACTCTGCCTTGAGTGTTGTGCGAGTATCCAACTCCGCACGTCAAAGGAACTGTCCAATTCAAGAAGTCATATTGTTCACAAAAGCTACAATGGACTCCATGTTGAAGGTCTGACGGTTTTAGGGATTCCGAACTTTAAGTACAGTAGTCCCACTGGCTTGTCGCAGCTGGATAGCCCTGGCAGGCCTAGCTCCACAAGCTTTGTAAGCTTTGCATTGACATCGCTAGATGAGGCAACAAAATCGATTGCCGCACAGATTGATAGCCGGACAACATTAGACAGCCATAGACGAATTGTGGGTGTCTCGATGGGTTTGGAAGCAATGGCAAAAAAAAAAAACACTACATTTATAGACATAGATCTTGATAGAATGGTGAAAACATAATAAGAGTTCAATTGGGTTTGAAGAGCCGTTTGATTGGGTAGAACCGTAGAACCGATGTAGTATGAAGCTTCACATTGTCACTCGGAGCCAGGAACCGAATGGGGACAGAAAATTATTCCATGATGTAATTATAGGCTGAAATAGATCCCTTGGCCCCCCTCTCCCCTTTACAGGCTAAAGGAACCAAGGGTGCAGACTCAAACTATCCCAAATACGTTATGCTGAAGACTGGAGTGGTCATTGCAGAACTTAGAAGCCTTAGAGGTTTGGGCAAGTGGCGGTTTTGCTTGCTTGGCAGCAATAGTCGCTCTGGATTGCCCGCCAACCGGATCATGGATGGTGCCAGGCATGACAAAAAGTTCGAGAGCTGCTTTCAAGAGAGTTTATATATATGTATATGTATGTATATAACCCAATCAAATCCCGTGACTGAATGTAATATGGTCTTCTGAAACTTTCCGCTGATCAATCAAGAGTGTGTGCTAAAACAGAAAGCAGGAAAAAAACATGGGTGAAAGTTACATATAGCTGTGCCTTGAATGTGCTAGGGAAATGCTTTCTGCGTGCATGGTGCTTCAGCAACGTCTTGAGTAGATCACAGCTGAAGAAGGTTTACTCACAAGGGGCTTGCGCACTTCTGCTTCTGCGGCTTCTTCTTCTCCTTCTTCTTCTTCTTCGTCTTCTTCTTCTTCTGAGGCTAGCCAGCCCTGATGATACTGTCTCATTGTGAATGCAATACCAGTCAGGCTCGCCGCCTCTTTCCCAAGAGGTCCCACATCTCCGCCGGACATGATTGCATAGTCTAAACCTCAGAATGAAGACGCTCTACATGTGTTGTTTTTGATATTTTTCGTAACAATCTCCGTGCGATGGCGGATTCAAGCTGCAAAGTCATGGAGTCTCAGGTTCGATCCTGACTGTCTTGCCAGTGTTCGGGCAAAAAGTGTCTTGCCCGTACCGGGTGGGCCATGTAGCAGGAGATGCCTGAGAATCTGAGCCTTCATGCCCGAAGTGTTAAAAATGCTGAACTGCACCTGAAGGGTGTCCCGTTCTTCTTGGCATTGACTAGGGAGTTGGTAGTCCAATTGAGGCGCTCTGACAAGTCTTCCTGGAGTCAGACACACCTCGATGTGATTTGCTACGATAACATGCCATAAATCCTTAACCTTAGGAGGTCCTCAAGGACAATCTTTTCCATGACTTCCTTCTTCTGCTGCCCAAATGGCACCAGACCGGAGAGGCGCAAGCGATCCCGGCCTGTGTCAGGGCACTTCAAATAACTGTCAAGGAAGCAATAGAAGGCACCCGTCCTACCGTGCAGTTCTTCCTTTTCGATCAAGACCTTTATCATCACCCTTGCATGTCGATGGTAAATATGTTGCTTTCTTCAAGGCTGGCTGCTTGCGACACATCTACAGTAACCAAGTTGACTTCCTTCCTCAGCATCGCACCGAAAGTCCAAGCGGAGGTCTCCCGAACCAAAGGTGGCCGCATTAGGCGCCTGCATGTCGGTTGCTTTTAGAGTTGAAACATAGTACAGTAGCTTTTTGCTACTAGTAGCGATGCCCTTGTTACAAGTAGCGATGCCCTTGTAGCTTCTTGCTACTAGTTGAAGCTTTGACATTGCGGCTGAATTTGAGTCACAAAGCTTTGCAGGGCGTCTGAATCTGCTTTTTGTAACGCTGCCTGGATTAAAGTCTCTGCCTCTGTCCGCAAAGGCTCTTCTCTGGCCCCAAGCACTCGATTATGGTGCACTGAAAATCAATCTATCCGTCTGTCACGGGCGAAATAACACACAGGCAGCACATCCCTGATTCAGGATGCACTGGAAAAATTGAAGCAATTGTGAAACTACTTGAGACTCAGCTAAACTGGGAGATTACAAAGCTCCCCCTGTACACAGAAAATGTTCTCACTGACCTCCCTACTACTCCTCTTTTTTTCTGCTCACAGACCGGGCAACACATTGGCGGAGATGTCTCCGCTAGCCCGGGAGGAACGTCGCAGCCAATTCTCTGCAACTTGAAGGCGGTGTCGCAAACCTGGCAAACCTCAGCTCGTATCTGATCAACCAAAACATCAATGGAAAGAAAGTCCTGTCAAGAAACACGCCAGTATTCGTTCTTTTTCCTTCTGACTATATAATTAATGTCGAGCTGCGGTACAAATATGCCAGCCGTCGCAAAAGACTAGCAGGCCTCGCAGCCCCAAAATTTTCCCTTCGGAATTCTGACAAAATATACTTTACAATGCTAAGCCCCACTCTTTCCACCAATGTCCACTTTTGTTGAGCCCTGAATCTCACTAGCCTGCGCAGCGAGGATGCTATGTTTGTCCCAGCGAGGCCATCAGTGCAAACTTTAGAGGCCGATCAAAAATATATAGAACTATATAAACCACTAAACCTAATAGCAAGGGCCTCCAACCTACTAGCGATGGCCTCCAACCTAGCTAATTCAAACGTCCAGGCATACAGTAGACATCACCAACTTCATCTGTCTTCTTGGCTCTGGGCAGCAGCCGTAGCAGAAGAAGCCAGGCGAGCAATGCCCTGGGCTAAATGGTCTGTCAATGTCTCAACTCTGAAGATTTGCTGCAGAGATCCCAACAGGGGGGCAAAGCCGGCGGCAAAAGATTTGCCATTTGACTTGCTTCCACGACGCCAGCCTTGAGGGCAGTCACTGCAGAGCTTTCATATCTGCAAAAGTATGGGAAGAAAGAACAATTGCAAAGGAAATGCCTTTAAACTATAACTAAAGGTCATTGAGGTCGAATGAAGAAAACTTTTCTCAGACTCTGTTGTTGACTTCGACTCTGAGATGAGTCGACACCAAGTCCCTTGCAGCTTCAGTGCTCCCTAAAGCAATGAATTCTCCCAAGGCTGATGGCTTGAAGCGTCGCCATGCCACACGTGGCCTGGCGACTTTTGCAGTTTGTTTCCCACTTTTACCAAAAAAATAGAAGAGAGAGTGCGTGTTGGGCCTTTCGGTCATATTAAAGGGGCCCAAAACACCGAGTGATGCGTTTCTTTTGTCTAGCTATTGCTACCACTGCCCAGCTGTAGATCTCTTTGTGGAGAATATATGAGAAAGGCCATAGGAATGAGACGAAACTCAGGACCACACAAGCAAGAAAGCTGCGCATATATGTTCCAGGCAGCAACTTCAGCCTGTTGCATCGCCTCAGCCCCAGTGGAGTGGAAATCGAGTCGTCACTGAAAGAATCCAGTGTAGCCCAACAAACCTTTTTTTAGCCCGCTCCAGGGCGGCGCAGGGAGCTTCCTTGAAGAAGCGCCCGCACTATTCAATTGGTTCCTAGATTTTGGGGGGAAACTGAACTGTACAGCTCTTGCGCAAATCTCAGGGTCTTGCAATCTGTCCCGTAGCTGGCGTTCCTGCAGATGCATCACCGAGGCCTGACAGTAAATTTGGCATGTCGACAGCTCCAACTACTTCTGACCAGGCTAGCTAAGGCACAAAAGACTCCAGGAGCAACTCGCAAGTATTCGTCAACGGCCTTGCTTTTTTGTCAACTGTTAACCAAACTGCTGAAGCTTCTCGCTTGCATGGCACAAAAAAGTAAGGACTGAACAGCACGCCCTTGGTCTACAGAGTCCTCGGGGTTCCACTTGTCTGGTGTTTCAAAATGCAAGAGAACACTCAACGGAATTGAGGAACGTTGAAGTTGCCTTGCAACAGCTGTCCTCCAGCGGAGCTTTTAGCTGAAGCCTCATTCACCAAACCAGCCACTCAACATGATCGGGATGACAAATGATTTGGCTGCCAATAGCTTTGTACTTCAGTCTGTCGCATGTCTTTGTACTCTGGAGGAGCCAATGCCCCAGTGACGATAACCTCAAACACTCGAGGGAGCCAAGAAGTTTGCTGGGCAACAATGTCTTTACAGGTTTCAGACGAGATCACAAGCATGATGCTCCCTGGAAATGTGGACAAGTGGAGACTCACTCTCCCCGCAAAACCACGCTGCACCACAAAAAAACACTGGCTGGAACAGAGAGACGACTTGGCACAGGGAAAACCTTTGAGTAAGGCTTGCCTGGAGTCTCCAGACAGACTGGACCAGGTCAGCCCATCATCCTTAGCTACCAACATGTGATTGCCATAGGTTGTTAATGGAAAGGCGTCACCCAGCACAATGCAACAGTTGACAACAATCATGAACCTTCGTTACAAACGATCCAAGGAACATCAATAGAGATCACGCGGCCTTGGTGAATTACATGTAGCAGCGGATGCGTACTGGCAAGTCTGACGTCTAATGCTGGAAAGCTAACAAGCACGGGACCGTAGCGCAAGATAACCAAGAATGCTCTCAATGGCTGCATCAGATCTAAGGTTGTCGCCTGTCTTGCGAATGATCCCCTGCTTCTCTAGTAGCTCGGCACTACGTGCTTGATTAGCCTCCTCACAACCTGCGACATGCTTGGATGCTCACTGTTTGCACTGCTTGCACGGTAGGTTTGAAGCCTGGCAGGAAGCGAGATCCAAAAAGACTGATCTGCCCAGCAGCAGCAACATCTGGAAGCACCTGCTACAAGGACTGAGCTAGGATGCCGAGGGCTCGGGCCCCATGGTTCCGAAAAAAGAATTTGAAGAAAAGGTCAGTCTAGCCTCCGCCAATCCTGCTGCAAGCTCAACACCGACGTAGCCAGCACCTTCATCTACGGATTGGCGCAACATGAAAGCTGCAGGGCTGCATAGCGGAATTTGTCACTACGAAAGGCAGAGCTGCAGACCGATTATGGCAACAGAAGAGACAAACGGAAGTCGAGCACGTAGCGCGTCTGCCTTACGCGAAGCTTTGAAAGTTCATGCATGTGTCTTCTCTGCAATATTCTAGAGATTTCTGGAGTATCATCTATCGTAAAAAAGCATCCTGAAGTATGTGACAGGCTAAGCGGGCAGCATCGCTCAAGGAGCGGAAGCACAGTGCCTGTTTCGAACAGCACAGCTGGCAAAGACTCCATAATACCTGATTGTTCAGTCAGCATACCAACATCTTCCAGCCTTCCCATCTGACAATGCTCTTGAGAGCCCTGGTAGTTCCTCGCCTGGTTTCATACCTTTCAGGACAAATGCTTTCAACATGCTCACATCTTGATGAACGATGATGTACAATAGTAGACCTAGACGAGACATCTGCGACTTGCAGCGAAGGCCCACAAAGCGTCCAAGAATCCAAGAATTGCAGTGGTTTGGCCCCGTGAGCTTCCCACGCAGGCTGCCGGATGCTAGAACTACAGCATCAAAGTCGAGCTTAGCCTGCAGAGACCAGAGTTCATGTTGATTCTCCGGTCGACAAATACACTATCGGAAAGGGGCCTCGTCAGTGCAAAGTCCAACCTTCGTCGCTCATGTTGCAAAGACCGCACGAAAACAAGATAGATCGTACCTCGCGTCTTCTCCAATCCACTTCGCTTGCCTGCAGTTTCGATGTCAGCATTTGGTTTGCATCAAACAAACCCGTGTAGTATGGAAATGCGCAAATGGTTCCTGTAGCCAGCTGCACACTCAGGCTAAGAGCATAGCAACACCTTGAATGTGCTGGACACCAGGGGCTTCTTGCAGGAGCTCGTCGAACAGCGGCGCCTCAACAAACGAAATCCGTGATTGCAAATTGGGGAAGCCTAATGAGCCTAGGACAAAAGCACTCATTTACCGGACCAACATTGGCTTTGCAAAGTTGCTTGTCATCCTGAGTTTTGTCAACCAAAGAACCATGGCTTTCAAGTTGGTCAAGCCCAGCGCAAGCTCATCGAGTTCCACAACACCTGTTGCGTAGTCAATCAGCAATGGCCTCGGGCTACAACACGGCATGCCACTTGGGAGAGGTAGCAACAAAAAGAGTCCAGGTCAACAACTCACACATCATTCATCATGATTCAATAAGCTTTCAGCAGGAAGACATATCTTTCTTTGGGGTCGATGAGCTTGACCTGGGTTCGCAGTCATGACATTGCAGCCTCACAGTGTAGCCGGTAGCTTTCCTGCCTGTGGCTTGGTCCGCCAAGGCATTTGTGCGAGGCGCATTGCCAGTGTCAGGCCTCCATATGACATTGGTTAATCGGGGCCAGTGCTTTAGAGCTTCCAGTTTGTTCTTCAAACCTTGTCCAGCTGCCAGTCTGCTTTCCCCCCCAAAAAAAATAGTAGCCAAATGAATAGGTCGATGGCTTCGTCTTCAAGGAAGCCTTAGCTTTCCTGCATCCAAGCCTAAAGAGCTATTTAAGTTACTAAGCCAAGCTGCGCAGTGTGAGAGCAATGCTCTTCCAAGCTCTAGGTATCATCTAGGAACCTTAATTTTCCGTAAATATCTAGGATCCAAATCATTAGTGCGAGCGCTTCTTCAAGGAAGCTTCCTTGAAGAAGCGTGAGCTATCCTGCGTCTTAGGTAGTAGCTGCTACTTGCAGCTAGTATATCGCAGCTACCTCTCCCTCCTAGTGGCCTACCCCCCCCCAGGCTAAAAAATACTACTAGCTTCTTGTTACTACTAGTAAGGCACTTGTTACTACTAGCGTGGCACTTGTTTCTAGTAGCTTCTTGTTCATAAAAATAATATATAACAATAAACGCACCTCCAATACCACCTCCAAGCACCAGGATCGAATCTCCTGAGGCAGCGCAGTCATGACGATCTCACGCGGGTCAAAGGTCAAAAAACATCGGCAGGCCTTTTTGTGCCTGGAGAGTGAAGCGGTGTCGCCGGCGCGCCTGCGAGACTGAGTCATTGAAGGTCTTTTAATCGTTGCAACTATATATAATGGGGTCAACATAGCGTACACTACAAAACTGCCTTTCCCTTCCAGCCAAGCGCAAAGCCTGCAGAAGTGCAATCGCAGCATCAACCATAACAACTTCAACGGAAGCTGAAGGTACTAGTACCTTATATTATAGAAGACTTTGCAATTGCGATGCTGAAATAGCAACAAGAACAAGCAAAAATGGCGATTGAATCCTGCCCACCTGCCAATACCCCGGCAGCTGATGCACGCCCAAGTTTGGAAGGCCTGGCAAAGGTAGTCTAATTGTTTGATCACAAAATTCGGCCGTGAGGAAGGGAGTTCATGGTTGGAAGGCCTGGAACTGCTACGAAGACTACCAGTGCTGCTGGCTGACCCCGTTTGTGTTCTTGCCTTAGCAAGATTCAACACTAAAAAGATCGAACAAGTCTAAGAAGCTGTAGTAAAAACCTAGTAGTATTGCACGCAGAGCCAGGAAGCGGCTAGATCCGAAACAAAGAATCACAAAACCTGCTTACGGTTAACAAGACTTTCTTGGAACTGCCAAGCCCCAAACCACATGGCCGCACACTGCGGCTGCTTTGGCTGAGCATGAAATCGGAGCTTCCATAGCTAGCTAGATCCCGCAATAGTGCTTGAGCCACACGAGACACAAGAGTTCACTAATAACAAGTGGAGCATTTAGACAGCTAGCAACACACAACGCTGCTGCTGAGAGAAAAGCCTATGATGAGTTCCGGCCTTTCGATGATATTGCCAGCTACCTGAGTAGCTGCACGAGCACCATACCTTACGGATCAAAGAGCACATGGGGAAACAGAAGCACCAAGAATCTAAGGTTCAGGCACGCCAACAGCCAGTGCCGTTAGGCCGGCAACTAAAACAGTCATCTTCGATCTATCCTGCCATCTGCCATGACAAATTAATTCTTAAGGGTTATCTTTTTAGCAGTTCTTTTCTGCCTCCAATACTGACTGCGCGCCAGCACCCAGTCCAGCAAAAATTGCCTGGAAGTATGACCGTGGAAAGGGCAAGCAAGGGTTGACTTTGGGTTCTTTACAGAAGCAAAAAAAACACAATCAATTTGTTATTGCCACTTCAGAGTCCAGCTCGGCCTGGATTTGCTCAAGTCGAGTCTTCCTCTCTTCGGCCATACGAGCTCGCATCTCTCTGAGACGGACCTGTGGAACATCTTTTTTTTAAGAACGGCTATACTAATTGTTGTTTCTTGTTGCTGGGAGCAATGCCAGGAGCTACTAGTAGCTTCTTGCTCCTAGTAGTAACACCAGGAGCTACTAGTAGCTTCTTGCTCCTGGTAGTAAGGCCAGGAGCTACTAGTAGCTTCTTGCTCCTAGTAGTAAGGCCAGGAGCTACTAGTAGTTTCTTGCTCCTAGTAGTAACACCAGGAGCTACTAGTAGCTTCTTGCTCCTGGTAGTAAGGCCAGGAGCTACTAGTAGCTTCTTGCTCCTAGTAGTAAGGCCAGGAGCTACTAGTAGCTGATTGCCCCTAGTAGTACCACCAGGAGCTACTAGTAGCTTCTTGCTCTTGGTAGTACGGCCAGGAGCTACTAGTAGCTTCTTGGTCCTAGTAGTAAGGCCAGGAGCTACGAGTAGCTTCTTGCTCCTAGTAGTAACACCAGGAGCTACTAGTAGTTTCTTGCTCCTGGTAGTAAGGCCAGGAGCTACTAGTAGCTTCTTGCTCCTAGTAGTAAGGCCAGGAGCTACTAGTAGCTTCTTGCTCCTAGTAGTAACACCTAGCTTCTTGCTCCTGGTAGTAGGGCCAGGAGCTACTAGTAGTTTCTTGCTCCTAGTAGTAAGGCCAGGGGCTACTAGTAGCTTCTTGCTCCTAGTAGTAACACCAGGAGCTACTAGTAGCTTCTTGCTCCTGGTAGTAAGGCCAGGAGCTACTAGTAGCTTCTTGCTCAGCTACTAGTAGCTTCTTGCTCCTAGTAGTAACACCAGGAGCTACTAGTAGCTTCTTGCTCCTGGTAGTATGGCCAGGAGCTACTAGAGCTTCTTGCTCCTAGTAGTAACACCAAGAGCTACTAGTAGCTTCTTGCTCCTGGTAGTAAGGCCAGGTGGTACTAGTAGCTTCTTGCTCCTAGTAGTAACACCAGGAGCTACTAGTAGCTTCTTGCTCCTGGTAGTAAGGCCAGGAGCTACTAGTGGCTTCTTGCTCCTTGTAGCATGGCCAGGAGCTACTAGTAGCTTCTTGCTCCTAGTAGTAACACCAGGAGCTACTAGTAGTACCAGCAGCTTCTTGCTCCTAGTGCTAAGGCCTAGTAGCTTCTTGCTCCTAGTACTTGCTCCTAGTAGTAAGGCCAGGAGCTACTAGTAGCTTCTTGCTCCTGGTAGTATGGCCAGGAGGTACTAGTAGCTTCTTGCTCCTAGTGCTAAGGCCAGGAGCTACCAGTAGCTTCTTGCTCCTAGTAAGGCCAAGAGCTACTAGTAGCTTCTTGCTCATAGTAGTAAGGCCAGGAGCTACTAGTAGCTTCTTGGTCCTAGTAGTAAGACCAGGAGCTACGAGTAGCTTCTTGCTCCCAGGAGCTACTAGTAGCTT